AGTTATAAGCCGTTTGTTTCCGCATCAATTTCGTAGCGGGTTGTACGCGAGAAATGGGGGTCCTGTAGGGGTGGGGGAGAGGGAGGCTTTGCGGTAAGAACAGGTAACGGGAGCACCGAGGGTAAGGGGCGCAAGGGCGGGCGGGGGGTATCCCTAAACGACTCTGCGCCCTTTATACACACAGCAGTGCGACATTAGAGCGGAATTAGTAGAGCCGCGTAATGAGCTAACGAGATTTATCAGTGCAGGCCAAACATTCCTTTGGCCCCGCACGTGGGCCCTGCGGGAGGGCGCAGAGCTCACGGCAGTGGAGCCCTTCTGCAAAGGCGAGGAACCGAGAGTATTTACTCTAGGCCGTATGTTCGGCAATTCAAATTCAGAGAGGAAAGAGCACTCGGCTGTTAATCACGATTCAAAATGAAAAATTTCGCGATTCGTTTCTTTCTTATTCCCAATGACCTACACTCAGAAAACTGAGTTCTTGGATCAAGAACACTGTGCTTGATCTTTAATGCAGTCAAGAACATTTGCTATGATCCAAGTCAATTTTTACTTGGATCAAGGCAAATGTTCTTGACTGCATTAAAGTGTTCTTGATCCAAGAACTCAGTTTTCTGAGTGCATAAAAGTTAAGGAGCAGCAAATTTTCAATTCATATCAACTTTGGAAATGCTACGGCAAAACAAAGACTTTTCACATGGAGTTTTTGGCCGTTTGAATTGAGCGGCAACTTTTCCCCGAGTTTATTTTTGCATGAGCCTCCAATACGTAGCCCGTAGCCCCCCTTCCGCCCCTCCACAAAGGGCTGCTTTGCTTCTACGTAATTGAGCGCATCTGAAACGTATGTGAAATTAATTGGGGTGAATAAATGTAGTTGTGGGTTGCGGAGTGAACGCTCCCCACCCTCCTCCTACGCCCTGCCCCCTCCTCTTCTCCACCCACCGGGAGTTTCTGCCGTTCACAAGGCTGATAACCCAAAGAGATACAGATTATTTTTTTGAATTAATATTTTTAAAAAGGGGAGAGGGCGAGGGGGGACACGTTTCCTTTGGGTAGAGACAGTCTTGGGGACTGCCTTAAATAGACCTAGTGATGTATATTGGTATTGCGAAGTGCCACGCGCATGTGTAAGAAATTGCCCTGTTCAGAATTCGACGATGTGCGCGTGGAGAGGTGGAAGGATGAAAGCTCGAGGCGCAGCTCAGCAGCGCTGTGTAGCAGGACAATCCGAATACCAGGGGCGATAAAAGATCACCGCTATACCTCTCTCCCGGGGCAAGCTTTTACGGTATATACATAAATGGACGTCGATTTGGCGCTCCATAAAGTTTGGGTTGCAGCTGTATGGTCGCGAGCCTGGGGGGTGCGGGGGGTGGGTAGGGGACGTGCAGGGGTACAGGTGCCGCGCGCGGCTGGGGGTGAGGGGAGGCAGGAGGAATTAGGTCTAGGAACGAGGTTTCGGTAGAGCGGAGGGGGTAGGAGGCAGACGAGCAGGGGGGTGGGGGAGGAGAGGGGAGGCGCATGGTACCGCCAAGCCCTGAGCCGCACGCGACAGGACAGCGCGGCGCTGACATCGCATGCCGATCGACATTTCCCACGATAAGACACTGACACGGCAGACTGGCAGGCTCGGCTCCCATCCGAAGGCCGAGCCGGAGCTGACGCGGCGGGCCCGACCCGACTGGCACGAATATGTTATTGCGCTCGTCGCCGGAACAGGACCGGGAATAAATGTGCACGGGCGGGGAGGGGGAGGG